TAAAACAAATTTGGTAAAAGAAATTCAGACATTTTCTGAATTACTTACTACTTTGTTAATAAGAACTTGAATTCTTTTGGCTTGTTCTTAGAAGAAAGAAAATAAAGTTTATTTAAATCCTTCAGCTCTCTACTAAAGATCTATTAAAATTGGTGAGCAAGAAGCCTTAGACCAAGGGTATCTTGCATACTTGACTTCAAAGTAATCATCATTTATCGACACCTTTGTTTCTTTTGTTATTAACTAATATCAGCGCCTGCTAGTCAGAAAATGGAAAAATCTTATTATTTTTCTAATAAATCATGACACTGGGATAAATTGAGTGGTTTAATCGTTGGTTAAGCATTTTGATCCTGATTTTATGTTGCAGATCAAGGCCATGAAAGAGACATACTTACCTGAATTAAATGAGATGTACCAAAAAATTGCTGCCAAGTTGCGGCAGGTATGTTTATTCTTTTACATAATGATATATATTCATTCCCTAACCTCCAAGGAGTGATAGAACCCATCTGCCCCATAGTCTGCCACCCTGTGTCTCTAAATAGAATTTAGAGAGGACTTTACTGCTCCACATTAGAAAGCTGTTGAACCCATACCACTTTTGGGTTGCTACTTGAATCCCCTTACCATAGACACTGTTTAGTGGTTGCACTTATGCATATCTGTTGTAATAGTGGTTTGTAGTTTTACTTGCATCAGTTGAAACAATTTTATGTGTACGATTTTCCAGCATGATTCTCTTCCACAGTAGCCAAAGTCAGAGCAGCTTGAAAAGTTAAAAATGTTCAAGATCTTGTTGGAGCACATTATATCTTTCTTATCAGTTCCCAAAGCCAGTATCTTACCAACTTTCAAGGATAAGTTGAGTTTGTATGAGAAGCAGATAGTAAATTTTTTAAATACCAGTAGGCCAAGGAAGGCAGTCTCAGCACGGCAGCAAGGACAGCTTCCTCAATGATATGCATTCCATGCCGCAACCACAACCTCAAATTAATCAGACACAGTCTCATGATAATCAAATGAACCATCAGTTGCTGTCAACGAATTTACAAGGTTTTGTTCCAACAATGCAGCCGAACAACATGACAAGTTTGCAGTATAATTCTGTGTCTTCCTTACCTGGGGTTGCAACAGCGCAGCAGAGCATGTTAAATTCCCTGCAGCCAAGTTCCAATTTGGATGCGGGACAAGGTAATGCCCTAGGCTCAATGCAGCAGGCTGCTGCAGGACCTTTACAACAGAATCCTGTGAGTACCTCCCAACAGGCAAATATTAACAGTTTATCTTCACAAAGTGGGTTAAGTGTCCTGCCGCAAAACATGAATCCTTTTCAGTCAAATTCCAACATGCTTCAGCACCAGCATATGAAACAACAGCAGGAACAGCAAATGCTGCAGTCACAAATGTACAAACAACAGTTTCAACTGCTTCAGATGCAGCAGAAGCTGCGGCTACTGCAACAACCACAGCAACAGCAACAAAAGCAGCTGCATGAAAATGGATGATACAAATGACGTGAACATGAGACAGGGAATCAGTGTTAATCCTGAGGTTCTTCAAGCAAATCTCTCAACAGGCCAACTTTCAGGTTATTCATATGAGCATTCAAAACCTAGTGCCCAATTTCATACATCTTCACCCCGGCTCTTTCAGGCTCCATTTGTCCCACCTACTTCAACCCTGTTGAGTCTATATCCCTCGCCTGAGAACACTAAGAAATCTATCTATGGCGTTTCCTCTCTGTCAATTAACAAAAATATTAGTCAGCAGCAAGGAAGATCTGAATTCCCTGCACCTGACACACCTGGTAATGGTATGTCAACATCACTTTTGCTTACTTTGTTCGAAAATGCTAATGATACTCACAGTATTGCTTTAACAACTGATTTTAGCAAGTCGAAGGTTACAGAACTGCCACATGATCCCAGAGTTACCATGGTTAGTGAAGCTTAATTAATTTTCATTCTTCATATTCTCTTTTTTCAATTTGCTCCTTTGGCTTGATATGCTGTTCATGTAGTGAAAGAGTGGAAAAAAAACCTTGAAATCCTTCTTTTTTTCTTTCCTTCTTTTTGACTTTATCTTCTAATATAGTTTGTTTTAGCTTTTGAAATGATGTTGGTCTATTACTATTTTATAAGTTTCAGGCAAAACCCATGTCACTTAAATCATTTGAGGCATCCGTTGTGACCATGGTTGATGAGGCAGCCTCTGCAGTTGGTGTGGATATGGCCGCCACGAGCAAGGGTGGTTCGCGTCGAAGAAATTTCTTTCCACAAACTGGAATGACTGGAGCCGAGAAAATGAGATTCTACATGAGTGCACTAGCTATATTAGCTCTAATGTTTTGGTTCGTTATAATAACATCTGCATGAGCAGTAGCATACAAATTTCCAAAGCTTTTTATGCTTGGGTAAAAGAGGAAAGGCCCATTGGTTATAGCATGGATTTCTCTTGTAATGAGTCAAGATGATACTATTATGACAAATTGTTGACAGGTGTTTGCTTATTTTAAGGTTTTTGAACTTGTTTACATTCCAGTCAAATATATTAGGAGATGCATGCATCAAAGTTCATGCCGTTTAAGCCTCAGTGCATGCCGTTTCTGGCCAATCTAGCCATGTAATAATACTAATTATCTTACTAAACACATAATTTGACGGAACCTTTTTTTATTAAGCGACAAGGGTTTTTAGGGTTTTATTTTTGAGTGGATCTAAGGTTATTCAGTACTTTTAGGTGAAGAGCAAACTAGATTAGAAATACCTATATGTAATAAGAGATAAAGATCACTTTTATTTTTCGAAAGTAAAGGAAGAAAAAGAACATAAAGACAACATAAAGCCGGTGTTGATTTGACGAAATGTCACATTTGTGGTCAAATTTGATAAATATTCATTGATGGAAGTGGACCCTTGCATGTGCTGCACTGCCTGCAGAAATCGGTTGCCCTTTATTGCTTAAGATTCTTACTCACTAAGGGATCTTTCTTTTCTTTTTTTTTTTTTATAATACCATTATGACTTTTCTTAGATTTTGTGGAAATTTAATTTTTTTATAATTTTAAGAATATATTTTTTCATATACATCTCATGTATATACTTTTTTTTTGTTTCAAAATATGTCATTTACTAATTTTAACAAAATTTAAGAACAAATTTTAGATTTTAGTGTATTTAAAATTAAAATTTAAAATTTTTTTATAAAATTAAAATTTTATGACTTTTAATGTTAAAAAGTTAAAAAAATCATAAAATTTAATTTTAAAATATAAAAAATAAAAATTTTAAATGCTAAAAAAATACAACATAATTTTGAGACGTTTCAAAAAGGAAAGATGAAAAAAAAAAAAAGACAAAAAATTTAATTTGAATTCGATCCGACACATGACTTTCTTTCCTTAGACCGTTTTTCTTTTTTTAATTTGAATTCGAAAATTTAATTTTGCAATCAATTTTAATATTATTAAATTAATTTATCATTATTCATTATTAAGTGAAATTTTATATATTAATCTTAAAATAATAATTTATAATTATTATATATCAAATTCAAATTTTATCGTATGATAATTTATTTCAATTTATATTATATTTTTCTTAATAACATATTGATTTGTTATGAATTGATTTTTTTCTTATGCAAAAACTTATTTAATTAATTAATTATGTTTGTAATATTTACTTGTAAATGCATCTAACTAATTATGTCTGATAAAAGAATTTGATTTATTGTAAAATGAAATTTGAATTATTTGGGTCTTGAAAGAAAATTAAATAATTTAGTTAAGTTATATAATCATCAACTAATACTTTATTATTATAAATAAATGAATTACAAACATATCTATTAAATTATTAAAAAAATTTCAATTAAATTTGATAATTTTAGATACGATATATTGATATAATATAAAAATTATATAAAAAATATGAAAATGATATAATTTAAGATTTTAACTAAAATAATATATAATTGAAAAATTAAAAATAAATTTCATATTTAACATGTTAGTGTAAATTTTAACATGATAATTTTATACATATTAAATACAAAATAAACAAGAAATAAATATAAAATTTTTCTAATTACAACGCTCCTTATTAAGTTGGTTAGGAAATTAAAAAAAATTTAACCATAGATTTTGTATCAATTTTGTAAAAAAATATAAGAAAAACATATCAAAAGAATTTCACTTTTTCCAATACAAGTTTTTGACTGTAAGAATAAAATATTTCATTTTTTTTATTTAATATCACCTGGTAATTAACTTTGTTTTTTTTTTTAATCTTTTTGCTTTAAAAAAAAATTAGAAAGGTTGCTAGAATACTTGGATACCCAATAATGATAGCAACCCCCAAAAGCAGATTATTTCTATTAAACATAATTTAAATCATGAATTTTGTTTATATTTCTAGTTCTCTTTCTCTTTGCTTTTTCATTTAATGATATATGATAAAGTTCTAGTTATGGGGGCTGATTGCATTGGGAAAATGTCAAATATTTAGCTAGAAAAAGTTTCAAGTGCAGTTGTTTTTGGTTAGAAGCTCAACCTTTTAACCGTGAGCCTTGTAGCATTCTCAGAAGCCAACTAACGATTAATTCTTTAGGTGAATAGCAATTGGTTTGAGTATTAGCATTGCTTCCAGTGATGTGCTGGTCTAGTGGTGAAAGTAGTGGTGTTTTGGTGAGCTACAGTCCTCCTTAGGTGGCATGACAATGGCCTAGGACAGAGAGAAAAATCGGAATCTTAAGAGCCTTGTGAAGAAGGGTTTCCTAGTATTAGTATTAAATCAACCAAATTGACATCCAATTGTAAAGTTGTGGTTTACATAGCAAACCATCGATGTTCAACTTAAGTCATGGTTGTTAGGGTGTCTGTGAGTGTCTAGTAACATGTCTTGTCATTTTGTAAGAGTGCGGCAAATGATGTATACTGTCCACTTTATCTTACAACATTAACAAAAATGAAATCCTGCTCTTATGTATATAAATTTATGGTTGCAAAAACTGTGTTTTTACCCGAGTTTCTTATCAAGAGAAGGGGGTTGTTTATTGAAAAGAACTTTGTCAAATGTTTTGCATATTTGAGAAGTGATTGTGTCCAAACTTACAAGTTTTCTTTTTCACTTCCTTTATATATGACAAAAATTTGATGTGAATTGTTTGTGACTTTTCTTTTCTCTTTGATGTTGTCAGAATTTGATGGGATACCAATAACTGGAGGCCTACTCCTGCCAGTGGAGAGCCCACCATGGGATACAGGTGATTGGAGAACCAGTTGCAGCCTGATTCACGACAAAAGAATTGTCAACAAGATGTAAGTGAATTTATGGTATTATTATTTGTTAAATATACTTGTTGTATTTAAGTTACTGATATTCTGTGGCATGTCTTTTACAGTTTCAATATTGTTAAAACCAAACAATACCATCAATAAAACCATATATCCTATTCTAGAGCGCATTCTTTGTTTTGTAAATACATAGCTCGAAAATCAAAGCTTGCTCTTACCCAGAGTTTGGGCACAATATATGGATCACGTATCTGGAAGCCTGATGTGGCAAAGCTATTGGGTCCAATTCTGTGTGGCGTACTTGGTATCGACATTTAATGAATTTATGTGATTGAATGAGGATAAATTTTACTTTTAGATCTTTTGCTTCTTGGAAGCTTGGGACTTGTTTTCTCATTCGAGTGCTACAGTATATGAATTGATGGTTCTCTTTTCTCTTACTAACTCAATTATACCCATTCATTAAATAACTTATAGCTGTAACGGACACTAGTGGTCTTGCTTTTCTATATCATTTTATGAACGATGGTAATTTTGGTATGTGGTCTATTTGAATGTAGCTGATATATGAAGGTCATGATGGCCACTTTGTTTATTTGGGAGAACTTTGTTAAATTCCAATGCCATGGCTTCTGGATATTTGAATGAGTCGGTCCTGAACAAGTTAATGAGGAAAATCTTTTGGTGGTCAGATTATATCCTGGTTGATTTTCATTTGATTTTATGTTAACTTCACAATTTGGTCATGGCATTGTTTTATTAACCATGGAAGATTCTTATATATATCCTATTGGTTTGTCGATAACTTACACAATGCCTTGTGTGCATAGAATGGACACATTGAAGAGGCACCTTCCATTTTCTGGCCAAGAGGGTTTAAATGAACTCAGGAAAATCGCAGTAAGGTTCGAGGAAAAGATTTTTACAGCAGCAAACAGCCAGGTAATCATAGAATATTGGCATTCCTTAACCTGCTTGGATGCATTGTTGTTTACCTATATTTTGTTTGTTTGCGTTGTGTGTATGTATCTTTGTGTTTCTTTTTTTTCTTATTTATATGTATAGACATGCATACACCTAGACTCCTTGTCAATTACATTGGAAGTAAATAAGAAAGAAATCCAGGGAGGAAAGAGAGCAGAGGTAGGAAAAAACAAAGATGCTAAATGGATATTAAGCATGGTTAATATAACATATTTGACAATCTTGTCTTGTATTTGAATAATGAAGTAAAGCTTGTTTACTCTAATGCTGTAATGGATTTCTATATTCAGTCTGATTATCTAAGGAGAATATCCTTGAAGATGCTTACTATGGAGAACAAGTCTGAGAATACCATACCCAACACTGGGAATAACAGCAAGGCCCCTGATCCAGGTAATTGCAGGAAACAGCATTTTGCTTTGATGTAATCTAGAAGGAGGACATTTTCCATTTACATGTCCTTTCTGTTCTTTAACATGAAGAGTTGTTTAACTTGCAACATTTATGCACATATTCTTTCTGCAGCTATTTGAATGAAAATTACCTATATTTTAACTCTTTTGTCCCCTTAACAAAGCGTGGTTGTTTTGGTGGGTTGGAGTTGTTTAAGGGATAGATTTGATAAGCACCCAAATAGAAAG